AAAAAAAAAAATCAAGTGCATGGGACATCATTTTAAAAAGCAAAGTCATGTCTTTTATTCACCCTTTTGAAAGAGAGAGAGAATTGCATTGGCCTGGAGTGTGGCCTGGGCTGCAAGTTTCCTCCAGCAGCAGGAGCTGTCCGAGGTTTAGAGCGTGAGAAGGGAGGGAGTGTGTGTCCAGGCTTGCACCTGTCCACAGGCATGCATGCTCACACGTGTGTGAGTTTCATCCCTGAAGACCTTTTCCCTAACAGAATCTTGTTTTCTCTCTCCTCGGTGGCCGTCGGGGACGCGGATGTAAGTGTTCCAGATGGGTGTGCTCTTCTGCAACACATTTGCTGACTTCCATTAATGGCACCTGCTAATGTGTGCTGTGTGGGATGTGTTCGCTAACCTGGGGGTTGTTTGGCACTATGGGAGCGGGGGTGGGGGGGCGGGGAGAAGGGCCTCTGGCTCAGTGCAGATGCATCTACTCTGGCCTCCCTGCCTGCCCCACAGAGAGAGGAGGTGGGGCCGCTCCCCAGCCTTCTTAGTCCGGCTGACACATTTGCTAATATGGAATGTCGTGAGACTGGGGCAGACAGCAGGGGCTCCTGCACTTCCCTCTAGGCCACCCAGCCTTGGGCAATAGGACAGCCGCTCTGCTGGCTCTGCTGGCTCAGGGCCTTGGCCGCCATCACCTGAGGTTTGGACGTGGTGGCTGTGGCCATGAACTTGCATGAGAGTCACTCTCCCCGCCCAGAGTTCGTCTCTGGAAGTGATCAGACTATTAAGGAGTGGATAGCGTCAGCACAGGGAAAGCCCTGGACCAAGATTTGGAGGGAACAGAGACACGGATTCAAACCAGTCCCCAAGCCCACTCCCAGGATGCAGTTTTGCACTGGGGCTGAGCTGACCAGGCTGTGTCTGTGGTTTCTGCCCTAGTCCAAGGACTTCGTGCTCTAGGAAGGCCTGTTTCTTTTCCCTCCCATCAGACAAGGGCTATCTGTGTCCAGAAGGAATTTCTCTGTGATGGTGTCAAGGTCTGACTTGAGATGAGATGAGGCTCCCAGATGACTTCCGGATTCCACCTAGGGTGGAACCAGAGGATAACCTAAACCCACCCACCCCATCCCTGGGGTTGGGGGATGCACAGAGCAAAAAACTCAAAGGAAGATTAATGATCGAAATCTTGGCCCTTACCAAGGGGCTCGCTGTCAGAGCAGGCCATTCCCAGCCTACAGGTCTACTTTGCGACTGACAGTTAAGACAGCTAGCTCTCGTGCTGCCTCCTGATGGCTGTTGGGGAGTCCAGCAGCAGTGCCTGGAAAACCCGGTCAAGGTTAGGGTCTGTTGTCATTTTTGTTTAACCCACACCTGGTTAAGTTGGGTGCTGTGTTATAGTCTAGTGAGTCCCCTGTTGATGGGGAGAACACATCTGGGGGCTCACTGTGTTTTTAGGAACAGTAGCAGGGCGTTCCAGAAGGAGTTCCGTTTTCTTTCCGCAGGCCATGGGGTGGTTGACCAGATGATCTGAGGGCTCCCTACGTCTACAATCTGTGTTTCTAAGTAAAAACAATATATGGATCATAGAAAGCTATCTCTTTGAGTGTCAGATAAGCTGGGTATGTGCTGACCACCTGGCCATATGACATGGAATATGTTTAAGAATTGAACATTTAGGGGCGCCTGGGTGGCTCAGTGGGTTAAGCCGCTGCCTTCGGCTCAGGTCATGATCTCGGAGTCCTAGGATCGAGTCCCGCATCGGGCTCTCTGCTCAGCAGGGAGCCTGCTTCCTCCTGTCTCTCTGCCTTCCTCTCTGCCTGCTTGTGATCTCTGTCTGTCAAATAAAAAAAAAAAAAAAAAAGAATTGAACATTTAAAAAAAACACTACGCATTCAATGACCTGAATTAATTCTGGAATTTTACTTGTGGATTTAATCAAGGTAGACTAAAACAGGAATCTTGCTGTCTTGTGGGGGGAAGAGTATTCCTCGATTTTCTTTCCACTGGGCATCTTTGCTTCTCTGGGACTTGGCCTTTGAAAGGAAAACAATCTATGTAACTTTGCTTCAGGTTCTCCCTGAAGGCTTCCTGGCATTTGACATCCTGTCTCAAAAAAGGCTTGGAGCTGAACATGCAAGTATAATGCACTGTCAACACAGCTTGTCCGTGGACTAGAGGAAGCCTCCAGGCCCCTCTACCGTCACGGCATTTATCCATTCTAGAGGACGTTCTTTCCCTGAGTACCCTTTGGTGTGGTGTCACAGGTCTCAGCAGCAGGGTTGGACCTCTCGGCTAAGGCAGTGTTCTCCTTCTGTCAGGGCAGCAATTCCCCCACATTCCTTGGCAGCTTATCCAGTAGGTTCTGGAACTTCTGCTTCTTCCTGTGCATGGTGCCTGCCAGTTTCTAGCGGCACGCTCATAGCCCAGGACTGCCCTGCAGGGAGGCCCAGAGGATGCGGGCTCCTGCTTCACACACCGGGGACCTTGGCTGTCCTAACAGGCTTGTGGTGTGGTGTACCTAACCTTGACCTTGCCTGCCCTTCCTCACTCCTTTCCACACTGATCCCTCCCTGCTGTACTTTGTCTCCTTTGTGTAGATTGTAAATGGACATTAAGTGGTTGAGGGAGATGTGAATGAGGGTGGTGTGAAGGCTTGGGACCCCCACCAGGTCCAAAACCCACTGGCATTTTCGGACGAGGAGGAGGAAGATCTGCTGGATTTCATGTACAAGTATAAGGCTCTTCGAAAGACGGAAATCCCCTTGGAGGTACAAGGGGTCTGGGGCTGCGGGCTGGAGCATGTGTTTGCACAAGGGCTTTGCCCTGGAGATCTGGGGTCCTGGGAGTGGCAGCTCTTGGGACCCCAGCATCTCTCGAGGGCCTCTCTCTCCATCAGACTAAAAGGACAGAACGCTAGGTAGCATCCAGATCCTTGCCAAGGGGCAAAAAAAGACTCTGCTCGTTTTATTTAGATATTGGAGAGGTGATATAGTACCTAAAATAAAACTTAAAAATTTGCAAGCACTAACCTAAGATGATATGTGAATGAAAAGCAACCCAAATGTGTGTTTTAGGGGGAAGAAAATATGTTATTTGACACGTTTTTTAACGGAAGCTATTCATCACTGTATCTCCAAGACACAGCAATAGTGCCTAGTACAAAGCAAATCCTGAGAAAATTTTACTGGAACGGCACAGCCCTCTAAAAAGACTCAAACCAAATGTACCTGATTGCTGTGGATGTGGGTGGAGTGTTGGCAGCCGGAGGGCCAAGCCTAGCGCCTCAGAGGCCTTGCTTTGTGATGTGGATAGGGAGTCGCCAGCCTTGGGCCCAGGTACGGGGCTGGCTGGCAGAACTAGGGACTCCCGAATCTTCCTCTCTGTCCCTCTCGTCTCCTCTCCTGGGCCCCATCTGCTGAATACTGTGGTCTGAGCGTTCATCTGAGGCAAGTTGGGAGGCCCCCTGTCCTCAGTGTAGGGACCCCCGTGAGACTTAGATGAGGGAATGCACTGAAATGTTCCCCTACCCGAGCACCTTGGCCAATGGACCCCTTTCAGACTAGGACTGTGGTTATTACCACTGGGCGAACCTGAGTTCATCAGAGTCCTTTCCAGGGTGGGGCACGCACGGGTCAGTTTTGAAGTTGAAGGTTTTGGTAAAAGATGTTCTGGGTTTGGACTCTGTTGGGGCAGTCCGTCAGAGCCTAGGCCACCCTGTAATGGGGAGAGGGGCTCAGTTCTCCCAAGGAAGGTGCCCAAAACGCCGTAGGGTCTGAGGGTTTATGCCATTTGGGTTTTGTTTTGTTAAAGCTGCACGAGCTGCTTTACTGTTTACTTCAGCCTGAGACAGCTAACTAACTACGAGTTAGTTTTCTCTGATTCTTCTTTTACTTTGTGTCCAGAGGCAGCTGGTAAACATTTCCGAATCAAAAAGGTGTCCTGAGGACTCAGGAGGTGGAAGGCCAGAGCTTTCTATCTCCGCCGCCCCCCCCCCCCCTTGGTTGTCTCTCTTTCTCCCTCCCTCCCTCCCTTCTGTGTGCCTTCTGGGCACTGAGCTACTTCCTGGGAAATGGAGGTGGGTGTGCCCCCAGAAAGTTCTCAGTGAGGAGGGGGGAGACAGGGCAGAGTCCTCTCATGTCCTCTCTTGTGCAGAACACTAGGAGAACAAAGAAAGTGACCCTGCGTCTGTGTGTCTGGGCTGTGGGGAGATGGGCTCAGGAGGGACTTTTGAACTGGGTCCTAAAGAGGACTATAAATAGCAAGACAGAGAAGGGAGGGAGGGGCTTCAGGTACGAAGGAATAGAGGTGTAGAGGATGCCATAGAAAAAGAAGTGACTGGAGAGAAGTGGACAGGGACAGGGGTTGGGGGTAGCTTGGGTCAGTTGTGTTAGTGCCCTCCGCCCCTTCCTGCTCCTGGCCTTGAGGGCTCTGCCGGGACAAAAATTTCCTTTTCTTTCATTGTAGAAGTAACTTCTGTGATCTATGTGTTCCATGGAAGGAGGGCTCCCCCCCTTGATAGCCATTTGTATGGGAGATGAGGTGGAGGACAGTGTTTCCCTTTGCTGTGGGGCTTGCCATGCTTTCAAGTATTTCACATTCAGAAGAAGGACTGGGAACTTGGCGATGGGAATTTTAGGCACGTACCTGGAAACATGAGGCTCGTTTCTCAAGGAAAGAACAAAGACAAGGGAAGAGATGGGGAAGCATTTCTCTGTGCTGAGTCACTTGCTAGGATCATTTTTCTCCCAAGGCAGAAACAAGAAAGGTGTGTGCCATCCTTCTGCGCAACCAGGGAGACCCAGGGACTTAGGAGAGGGTGAAGTGGGAGGGAGGCCGCTACCTTCTCAACTGGCTCAGCATGGGATGCTTGGGATGTGACCCGGTTCCCAGATTCCCAGCCGGCTGCCTCACACACGTGTGCGTGTGTCTCAACACAAACCCACACAGGTGCTTGCCTCCAACGTTTCCACGCTTACGCCACATTCAGGGATGCCTTTTTCTGTTTCCTCTGGCAGGCACCGCCTAGAGTTCTTCGATCCCGCTTTAGGAAGAAAAGTACCTCATCCTCAGCCACTGAAACCACGTGAGTGAGATGAGCCAACAGCACCGGACCCACAGAATGTTTCTTCTCTGCCTTAAAGAGCTAGTCACTAATAACGTAGAAATCCGCAAGCTGGCGTGCTTTGAGTATGCAGCCTCACAGACACAGCCTTTTCTCTCTCCCCTCTTCCACTTGCAAGACTTTAATTTTCCTTTTCTTTATGTTGCTGGGGAGAGGCTAAAGGGAAAGGTAGTGTGAGGGGGGTGACCTTTAAGTCTTCTGAGGTTAGTAATTTTCCACAATTGGATTGTCAGCAGTGTGTTTTTAGAAATATAAGAGATCACCCTCACACCGCCAAGATGTACATTTGTAATTTATTTGTCGCATACTTCGTTTTTAGTCCTGTAAATGCAAACAGAGCGATTTTTTTAAACTTTTTTTTGTTCTTGGTACTAATACTTTGGACTACGATGTACATATTTATCGGTTTTGGCTTAATCAGATGGACTCGCAAGGGCTGCCAGAGGTTCTAATATGTAAGAAAACTACAAGATGTGTAAAAATTATTTTGATTATAGAGAATGTCTCCGATGTGCTTCTCAAGCTTCTAAACACAACTCCAGTAGAACATCCCTTTTCCAGCAGGACGACGGTCCATCTTCTTCAGACAGATGTTTAGCCAAAACGCCAGAGATGCTTAGCATGAAGAGACAATATTGTAATGACAGAGATGAATGCAGTGAGGCCAGGGGAGCAGCCCAGAATAAGAGAAATCACAAGACGCTTGTCTCCCCCTGGATTCTGGATTAAGAGCTTCTGAATCATTTCAAGGGATTTACCAAAGCTTTAGGCAGGTGGCTCACCCTTGGTGAAACTTCCTGGGGATGTGAACTCACAGGCCTGTTGAGGGGAATCGTTTTGAGTGTTCCAAAAGTGCTGGAAGAATGACTGTTTCTCCTTCATCGTGACCGGTTCTGTGACTTATTTCCCCAGGTAGAGGAGCCTGTAACCTGAACATCTTGATTAAGAGAACACTAAGCAAAAGCCAACCAGTCAACCCAACCCAAACCAAACCAAACCTAAAGCTATGTTTCAGATATGCCATCAAATACACCTGAGACACCTGTCAAAATGCTGGGTTCTAGAAAGGTTTCAGAGCTTGAGATCTTTACGGACTGACTTGCTGCTCAGCGCCCTGGGCGGCATCCTTCTGTTCCCTTCCTGGCTTGTGCAGAATGTGAGTGAGAGAAGTCGCGCATTCATGGGCACTCCGTGTCTTACTGGATGTCTTATGCAGGCCAGGATCGCTTAGTAGAGTAGAGCACTGCTGAGGGGACTCTCTACTTAGACTGAGAACTTTATCTGAAAAGAAGAATCTGGTTTAGGTAGCATTTTGGCCCAAGGTAGCTCCTCCCCTCTGGGAGAGCTGAGCCTAAACGTAGGACTTGTATATTTGTGCTTAGAGTTGGTGTTTTCTTTCAGTGTAATGCATGCAGTGGTCACAACGCAGTCACTTATAATACTTGGATTGTGTTTGTTCATAGATATGCTCTGAAGACTAGAGAATTAGTGTAATGTACCACATAGAACTTACTGTCAACCAGCTATAAGCAGACCTGGTTCAAGACTGTTGCGTTACTGAGCTCGGCGAACACACGTCAGTAGTCTTGGCTGATGACACACTGGCTGGATCTTAGCCACCTGAGAAACGGTTTTACCTGAAGTTGGTTGTTGCCAGATATGCATATTTAAATCCCTTCTTCCCACAATGTCCCTGAAGGTGACTGTAATTTACAACAGGATTTAGGAAAACAAACCTATAAGCAAATTCCTGGTTCAGAGGGCTTTTCATTGTCTGTGCCCCACACCCACCAATACCTAAACCCATTAGGGAAGACAGAACATCTGTTTCTTCAGGCTCACTGAATAGTGTCAGAAGAAAAATATATATGCTTTAAATGTATTTACCTGTTAGTTGGGAGTACCCAGAATTATCAGAAACAGCTTCACTTAAGCAGCTTTTTAGCAAAAAAAAAAATTTTTTTTTTTGCCAAAACAATAAATGCCTTTAGCAGCAGAGATCCTTCGTGAACAAACTGTATTTTCACCATTTTACAATGTAAAGTTTTAACAAGGACAAGCTACCAAGTTTGCACTCAACTATGCCAAAAACAAGTTTGAAGCACTCTACTCTCAGACACGCTGTATTACTTCTCATTCAAGATTTAGAAAATAGAAAGGTATCCAAACTGCTGTCTTAATGTAAATGGAACTATTTTTCCTTCAACTGTTGATGAGGGAGTTGGTTTCTCTCTTAAAAACACTCACTGTACAAACGAGAGCCGCTGTCCTATTTCTGGCAAAATGTGTTTACTCCCCCAACGAGCTGCATATTCGTGTATGGACTGACAGGAAATGTGAATGCCTCCGAGTGTACATGTAGTGGTGTGCTGCTCTGTCTAGAGGGCATAACTGAACACCTTTAATTTGCTGATTTACAGACACAGGCCGTTTACAAAATGCTAGCTCAAAAGTCTGTAATTTTCACGTAATAACTTTTAGTTCTTTGCCATTGGGCACCTGTTCTGTTTCTGAAGAGGTGAGACGGGGCGGTGTACTTAGACCCCGGAGAGCTTTGTCATAATCCCTCCTGGCTTTGTGTGATTAGCTTGCTCATTCCACTGGCATCTGAAGTGTATGTTCTCTCCAGTAAACTGTCTGTGTGTTTGTGGTAACAGTGCTCATCCACCATGATCACAGCCGAATATCTCCCTAGTCCTCCCCTTGCACAGTGTTTGACCTGCAAAGGACGTGCTTCATTCTCCAACGGCGCACGCTCAGAGAGTTGACTTTCCGGATGGTCCCTGTGCATTTTCCCTAGTTTACTCCTGTAGTCCCTGTAGAATGATCTGTAATAAAATAGTATACTGGACTGTGCATCAAAGGGGTGTAAAATTACAGTATTCCAAAGGTTGAAATTCTGCTGTTTTGTTATAATGCCTGATCTATATCTTGAATAAAGTCTTAACATTTTTCTTTTAAAAAACATCTTTGTAATGTTGAGCTTATGAGGAAAGAGAAAACACTTTAAAAAAAAAAAAATTGTGGAGGGTAGCAAGGATGAGAAGCTGAGTGCTCAGGCACTAACCGGCCCCGGTGCCTTCGCTCCAGGCCTACTGCCTAGAATTGTGGCGGGGGAAGAAAATTCAAACGGTTTTGAAAACCAGTTGATCACATAAATGTAACCCTGGTAGTATGTTTTATGTTTTAAAAGCCACAAGTGGAAACTGTGTAGCTATAAAAACAGAGCAGTTCATCTGGTAGGCAGTTTTCATTCTGCAAACAGAGAATCTGGTCTGTCGTTTCCCTTCTTGGTACCTTTTCCCTCACCTGAAAGTGAGGGAGTATGTGTGAGGTCAAGAGGGTGGTACGTGCAGAGGTGCACTGGGTGGTGTGGATGCCCTTTGACCACTGCAGCCCTTGCCTTTAAAATATGAATGGGCTGAGGGCCTGGCTGGCTTCCTCAGGAGAGCATGCAACTCTTCTTGATCTTAGGGTTCTGAGTTTGACCCCAGGCTGGGTGCAGAATTTACTTAAAAATATGCATATGTGAACAGGTACACATAAGCTTCACTGGGTGCTCACGAAGACTTGGACACTTAAAATGAAACACTCATTTTCTTTGCCTATATAGTCTTCCAAAATAAAGCAGCAGAAGGTAAAGAAGCATGTTCAGAAAGCTGAAAGGAAGATGAAGAGATGGAAAGGCTGAAAACCCATTCATGTATTCATTTACTGAGCCAAGTCCAATGGCAACAGAACTGAGATTAACCAGATTAAGAGCTGACAACAGAAAAGCAAAGTTAGGATTCAAAGGCTGACTTGGTATGGTGTCAGGAAAAAGTATTGCATATGTATAATGCTAGATTATAGTCACTTGTTGATTTAGATATGAATTTTCATGTTGAAAGACTCCAGGAAGTGCTCCGGATTCCAAGATGTTAGACCTAGGTTCTGTGACTTATTAGCTATATTTTGGGTAATTTATTTAACCTTGTATAAACTACGGTTTCCTCAAATCAAAACCCCAGATAAAACAATCTCCCCTGAGGGTGCCTGGGTGGCTCAGTGGGTTGAGCCTCTGCCTTAGGCTCAGGTCATGATCTCAGGGTCCTGGAATCAAGTCCCGCATTGGGCTCTCTGCTCAGCAGGGAGCCTGCTTCCTCCTCTCTCTCTTTCTGCCCACCTCTCTGCCTACTTGTGATCTCTGTCAAATAAATAAAATCTTTAAAAAAGCAAAAACAAAAACAAAAAAATCTCCCCTGGGCACCTGTCTGGCTCAATTGGAAGAGTATGAGACTCTTGATCTTGGAGTATGGGTTTGAGCTCCATGTTGGGTGTAGAGAGTACTACTACTACTACTACTAATAAACTCAAAGGAAAAATAGTATCTTCCCCATAAGGCTGGTATGAGGATTAGCCATTTTGTGGGTATAAATACCCGTCCCTGTGCTGGGACATAGTTGGTCTTCAATGAGTTATATTATTACATAAATTTCAATGTCATTTAGGTAGACTCTTTAATGAAAGATGTTTGGTTGTCAAACTATAAAATCAGTGTTGATGATGAGCCCTGCTATCCATAAAACAAAAATTATATATATGAAAATCCTCTCTCTCCGAAATCATATGCCTGTCAGTCCGTGTCTGGATGCTGAGGCCTGGTTGCCAGTCCTTGTCTCTACCTCTCCTACCTCTGCCTACAGGAAAAACCAAGGTGCTCTGAGGCCCCTACAACAGAGATCTTTTTTGTCCATGACTGCACTAGAGAAGTCATGGAGGCAGTGGGAAAGTGACCTCCTCAACCTCTTCAGGTATCAGTTCCATCCTGCTACCAGGGGTGAGCTAGAGAGGCAGGGGCCAGCCGGCTAAGAGATGATGTGGGGGCGCCTGGGTGGCTCAGTCAGTTAAGCATTGGACTCTTGATTTCAGGTCAGGTCCTGATGTCAGGATCGTGTGAGATTGAGCCCTGTGTCGGGCTCTGCACTCAGCACGGAGTCTACTTGTCCCACTCCCTCTGCCCCTCCCACTTGTACGAGAGCTCTCTCAGATAAATAAATTCTTAAAAAAAAATCATGTGGAAACCTTGTGAGTGGGTGGCTTCTGCCACCTCAGAAGTTATGAGGAAATTGGGGCACGTGGATGGCTCAGTGGGTTAAAGCCTCTGCCTTCGGCTCAGGTCATGATCCCAGGGTCCTGGGATTGAGCCCTGCATTGGGCTCTCTGCTCAGTGGGGAGCCTGCTTCCCCCTCTCTCTCTCTGCCTGTCTCTCTGCCTACCTGTGATCTCTGTCTGTCAAATAAATAAATAAATAAATCTTAAAAAAAGAAGTTATGAGGAAAACCAATCAACAGAATGCCACAGCATACTTCAGAGTTCTACCCCATCTCAAATCCAGTCTGTTCTTTATTAAATGGTCACATAAACAGACATATAGGCAGCCTTCAATTTTAGAACCCTCTATCGTCACCCTTTTTCTTCTAAGGAACATGCCCTGGTTTCAAGAAATTCCTCTAATAACCCTAGCCTGACTTGCCATAGAATTTCAATTTGGTTATCTTTAACCTTATTCTATTAACAATAGAGAAACTTCATCTTATCATCATCAACTACTATATTAAAGGATTTAAAGTAGTAATTGAGGCATAATTCTACTTAATACAGTCCCTGACTTATGATGGTTTGACTTAGGTTTTTCGACTTTACGATGGTGTGAAAGCGACACATTCGGTAGAAACCGTACTTTAAATTCAGATTTTGATCTTTTCCTGGGCTAGCAATAGGCAGTAGGACACTCTCTTGTGATGCTGGTTGGTGGCAATGAGCTGAGACTCCCAGTCAGCCATGTAATCACAAAGGTAGACAACTGACAGATTAACAGTCGAATATTCTGCACACACACCTTTTTTCTGTTTTTCACTTTCAGTACAGTACTCAATAAACATGAGATAGTCAACACTTTATTACGAGATTGGCTTTGTGGGGCGCCTGGGTGGCTCAGTGGGTTGCCCCTGCCTTTGGCTCGGGTCATGATCTCGGGCTCTCTGCTCAGCAGGGATCCTGCTTCCCCTTCTCTCCCTGCCTGCCTCTCTGCCTACTTGTGATCTCTGTCTGTCAAGTAAATAAATAAAATCTTAAAAAAAAAAAAAAAAGATAGGCTTTGTGTTATGTGATTTTGCCCAACTGTAGGCCAACTTAAGTGATCTGAGCACATCTAAGGTAAGTTAGGCTAAGCCATGATGTTCGGTAGTTTAAGTGTATTAAATGCACTTTCAACTTAACGGTATTTTCATCTTAGAATAGATTTATTGGGATGTAGCCCCATCGTAAGTTGGTTAAGATCTGTAATGGTTTTTCAACCAGGCCAAGCGCTCACATGTTGTTTGAAAATGGTTCCCAGATGACTCTGGTGGGATAGCTGAGGACCAATGCCCTGGGCTTTAACCACACAGTGAGCAGAATTTTCCTCAAAGCCTCTCATCCAACCCTCTTCAAATGAACAATGCTTAGCTCTTGCATCATTTCCAAAATGACTATTTTCCCTTAGTTCTACAAAGTGTCTTTGGAAAATGTTTATCCTCACGGTTAAAATATGAAATCTCAGGGGGATAAACTACCTTTAGGATATACAGTGCCTTGGAGAGCCTGGGTGGTATAGTCGGTTAAGTGTCCTACTCTTGATTTAGACTAAGGTTATGATCTCAGGGTCAAGACCGAGCACGGCATCAGGTCCTGTGCTCAGCACGGAGTCTGCTTGTCCCTCTCCCTCTACTCCTTCTCCTTGCTTGCATGCTCTATCTCTCAATTAAATAAATAAAATCTTAAAAAAAAAAGGGAAAAAACAGTGCTTTTCAACACTTGGATAAAAAGTGTCTGCACCTCTAAAGCCTCTTCTGTTTCGTGAATGGGCATACTTTAAAGCTATGTCATTTACTCATCTCTATAAAAATCCAGTTCCAATAAACTGAGAATTGTTATGAACACACTAAATGTAGAATACTAGATCTGTTCTGTGTGTTGCCACCCCATGCTCACCTCTAAACAAAACTGCTCATGTAACTATTTTTTGCTCCATGTGAACCTGCCTAACACAACCCAAGTGAGCCAGGGTGGGCTCCTGACACGGGTCAGTGACTCCTGATGAGACTGGTCTTGAGTAAAGAGACAGGCTGGCCCAGTTAGCTTCTTGGCATTTAGAGCTTGGAGATAAGGGTTGGGGGTTAGGATGCAGAAAACAACCTGAGAGGTGCAAGCCAGAGTTATTGGGGCAGAAACTGAGTTGTATACATGGCAGACCCCAAGCCTAAAAATCTAGCATCTTCTGCTGCTGAGGCCCTTGGAGGTGCACTGGATTTGGGAACACTGTGAAATTTCTGTTCTTCCTAAGGCCTGGGGGTTAGATGTGGGTTGGGGGGGTGGAGTGGGGTTGGTGAGGTGGTTCCTGAGTTCCCAGGCATATATACTTAGAATGATGTCACAGTGCTGGAGCTCACATGTTAGCTTTATGGTCTTCTGATGCCTGCCCTAACTAAGCCTCACAGGAACCAGTTAAGCCATTACCATTTGTTAAAAATAATCAACAATTTTAAACTTCTATTTCCTTGAACAAATTCAAAAATGTTTGATCCATTAAGTGTTAAAACTTTAATAAGTTTAATGTTGGAGCTGTGTGTTTCCATACCAAATGGCACATTTTACATCAAGTTTTGAACTTATTCCATTTTGCAAAGTCATCATATATGTGAAGATACATATTCAGTAGGTAGGCAGTCATAAAACTTTCGATCTACACCTTCAGGTTTGTCCGATCATGATACTTCTGGTAAGGATCATCAGCATACCAGTTTCGCCTCTTCCAGAAAGCCGTTGTCATTTTATCTAAAAGCTTACTCTGGGTTTTATTGCAGAACACAAATTCCCTCAAGCGCCTTTTTCTTGCAGCCGTCTTTTTCCATAATTTTTTCTTATAACCAGCCTGTTAGATGATATTATAAAGACATTCAAAACACGATGTTATATAGGAAACAAAAGGTATCTTCACTATTCATGGTTTATAGGCTCAGTGGGAACAAAGATGAGACTTACTGGGGCTGGTATGTTTTTCAGAAAGATGTGATTCTCAGTGAGGGGTAGATACAGAAAGCACATACAGTTTGAAAAAGACATTAATAATTTAATACTTTGATAAAAGATTATTTCAATTAGAACCACAGAAAATAAAGCCAAATGACTCTTTGTGGTAGGTGAAGTACAGAGCAATGATAAATAATTACAATCACTAACTTTACAACATACTATTATTCTCATTTTACAAATTAAAGAGAAACAACCATCGATTAAAGAAGTCAACGGTAGCAGGCCAAGGTCACAGAACTAGTAAGAGTTCTTACCCACTGATTTTTCCAAATGTGCAGGATGAAGAAGGGCATTCCTGGCTAGTTGGTAACATTCATGTTCATTTAAGGGGACTAACTATTACAGAGGCTGACAAAACCCAGTTCTCAAGTATACTGCTTCATTTCTTCTGTTCCACTGAGGGCCAACTTCTGTACTAAGTACTTTATTAAGGAATAATGAATACAAAGGAGTGGTGAAGGAATGGATAACTCATCTGTTTAACCCAGAACCGCCATATACACCATTCAAGCATCATTAATTTTGAAGAATTAATTTTTAAATTAAAAAGGAAGAAAAAAAATTAATTTCTGAAGAAAAATTAGATAGACTATAAAATCTATAACCATAGTCTGTTTAGACTAGAAGAGATCTTAGGTGCCACCCAGGTTAATAGGTGGCAAAAACCACACAGAAAGTTATAGGGGAGGAGAGACTAGAACTCAAACTATTGCTAAGAGCCCTGTGTCATTTCATGCCAAGGGCGCCCTAGGGCACTACACTAACTGAACAAAAAACCACAGCCCTGGGCTGAGAAGGCACCTTGGGTTTCTGACATGTCTTGGTGTCATCACTCTGACCAGCAACTTGGGTACAGTTACCCTCAGAAATAAGGAAACGTTCTTTAAGAGTTCTGGTTTTGGGGTGCCTGGGTCGCTCAGTGGGTTAGAGCCTCTGCCTTCGGCTCAGGTCATGATCCCAGAGTCCTGGGATCAAGCCCCAAATTGGGCTCTCTGCCCAGCAGGGAGCCTGCCTCCCCCCCTCTCTCTGCCTGCCTCTCTGCCTACTTGTGATCTCTGTCAAATAAATAAATAAAATCTTAAAAAAAAAAAAAGAGTTCTGGTTTTAAAATGCTAGGGATTAGATTTTTTTCTACTCCCTGCTTATAATTTAAATTGAAAGATTCAAACCCAAATCCCCATATCTGTGTAATAATTTTCTAGCTTGCAAGCCAATCTGGGTTCCTGTGGATCTCTGACTTACAGGTTAGGATTAGGGTTAGGGTTAGTTGCTGTCCTGCCTATTACTACTAGTGACCTCTGATCATTATTCTGTGGAATGCAACCACTGTGAAAATGCTTGAAGCTTTTTAGACACTCTCTAGGTTCAGAAATAGGAGGGGGGTGCCTGGGTGGCTCAGTGGGTTAAAGCCTCTGCCTTCGGCTCAGGTCGTGATCCCGGGGTCCTGGGATTGAGACCCACATGAGGCTCTCTGCTCAGCAGGGAGCCTGCTTCCTCCTCTCTCTCTGCCTGCCTCTCTGCCTACTTGTGCTCTCTGTATGTCAAATAAATAAATAAAATCTTAAAAAAAAAAAAAGAAAAAGAAACGGGAAGGAATAAAACTGTGCTGCAGGAAGTATTTTCAGTTTCTACACATTAATATAAATTAACCCACCCAGCTTTTTTGTTTTCCTCTTAATATTACATTTTGATGAAGCAAGCCATTCTGTATATAGAATACCTTTTGGGTCCTGAGTGGGGACTAGGCATTATGACTGGAGAATCTCATCAGGTCCTTTTTAATAACATGAGGGTTTCAGGGCCCAATAAGGGATGGAGACAGGAAGGCAAAAAAAATAAAAACAAAAAACCCGCCCAGCTTATTTTATCTAAGGCCAGATGAAGACCTGGAAATAATCAGTATGATAACAAGGGGGAAGAAATTTTTCAACGGTCCAAAATTCACAAAATTCAGAACTATTCAGTGAATGACTTAGTTCAGCTACTTAGGGATTACATGAGCTTCTGTTTATTAGTGTAGGAAATGAACTACCACGGTATTGTTCCGAAGGAGGAATGAGCTAAGAGTTCCAGTCAACATATTTACCTTAAATTTAGGATTGTTTATAAGATAGGAGATAATCCTTTCAGTCTTTCAACTAGTGAAAGTCCTACCAATTAAGTGTTTTATTTTTATGGGGAAACAAATTTTGATCTTTAAAAAATCATTTAGCTTCCGAGTAGTAAAAGGGAATTAGAATTTGAATAGTTATCAAATCTCAAAGGTGGTTTTGCAAAACTCTAGTCTTCAGCTGCTTTCTAATAATCAGATACTCTGTTTCCGAGAATAAAAGATGGGAGTGGAAAAGCCCAGACGCACGCTCACGACGTGCTATGGGAGAGGACAGAGCAGTAATCATTTGTCAGAGGGCCCCTTAGAGGCTGTGATCCCAGGCCAGAGTAAGTGTTCGGGTTCTGTCCAATATGGACCCCAATCACACACACAGAGAGAAAATCATGAAGTTAAAGAAATGTACATGGGATTAATACCCTGTCATAAAGACTAAACCACCTAGGGGCGCCTGGGTGGCTCAGTGGGTTAAGCCCCTACCTTCGGCCCAGGTCATGATCTCGGAGTCCTGGGATCGAGCCCCACACAGGTTCTCTGCTCAGCGGGGAGCCTGCTCCCCGCCCCCCACCCTCTGCCTGCCTCTCTGCCTACTTGTGATCTCTCTGTCAAATAAATAAATAAAATCTTTAAAAAAAAAAAAAAAGACTAAACCACCTAGAGAATGCAACTGCCCCTCAGAACAATGTATTACTTAAAATATGACCCCTGGGAAATTTTACTAGTTACTAAGCACATTTAGATATAGCCTTAAGAAAAACATATACTGGCAACAGGCCTCTAGGGGAGAGGACGATATACGGCCTTGAAGCTGAGCAGCTGGGGATGCCCTGCTCGCTCAGGGTGGAACACTGCCTGCTTCATTTTTCCCTTATCTCCCCTTCCCCCGCCCCCCCCAGCACCTGTGGCTACTTAGATAAATCCTTTGAATGTGCTTGTTCAACTATAAACTTTATACTACTTGTACAGACATGTTTTGCCCTCCTTGTTTATCTACAAGGCATAGGACTAACGTTTGACCTTCATCGACTCTTCTGTGGACTATTGTTTCTATCTAATAAAAGTGAGACTGAGGAGACTGAGGAGTTACTCGGGGCAGCAGTCTTTTTGACTGTTGTCCCCTGCTCCCTCCCAATCTCTTGCAGCTGACTTGTTTGTGCCTAATCTTCTCCCGTTTGCCGACTGGAAGAGGCAAGAGAATCCAATCCAAAGTAGGTGGAAGAGCCCATCAGCCCCCAATCTAAGCCACACCACAAAGTCCCTGCTGAAGGCAACTCTGCTGCTGCAACACTCTAGGCTTAGAGAGTGCCTCCCCACAGGCGGGCACACGTGGCGGCTGTCACGTGGCTTCCTGTGATCGTCAGCTAGGCCAGCATGTAAAAGACCCGAGATGAACACGTCCTGCAGTGAGGGGATTTACCACTGTGAGTGACACCGTGTTTTACGAATTCATTTACACTGGGGATGCCTGCCAAACTGGTACTTAAGCACAGCACTGTAAGAGCTACTGGCAAATGGGAGGAAGAGACGTCAAAGAATAGGCGCTCCCACTGCTTTTTCAATCAAATGACAGTGTGAAGACTCACCTTCCTCCTCACCCACAGGCCGGAATGAAGTCGAAGAAACCTATAGATGACAGCTTTCACAGTCTTTCTTTTCCCCTTCCGGGAGCTGAAGTACGTCACCGTTCTGACTGGTGGCTTCAGGACATTTGGAAGCAAGGGGGCCACTCTAAAATATAGTAAAAAAAAAAATGTTAACTCAGCGATAAGACTCATTAGAGGATAAAGGCTATTTCCATACTTTGAAATAAGTGGAGTTCCGCTGGAACAAAGCCGACTTTAATATACATTTTTACTTTCAATGACCCATGACACTAAGCGTAAGTAAGAATAGCCACAATCACCAACTTGTAAGCCTTGCATCAAGTAGCCCCTCAATCCCTATGAGAGAATTTATCCTATCTATTTTAATCACCTGATTTCTTATCTGCCCACTAGGTTATCAAGCCTTTGAGGACTTCAGTTTAGCTCTGTATACTTTCTGCCAAGAACTGGGCACCCAGGAGTCCTTAACTAAGTATCTGTCAATGAAATGAATACCAGCCTTGCATGCTGAGCGTCTTGTTCACCCTCCGCAGTGGCTGAGAGCTTCCATCCAGGAAACCACACCTAGAACATGGAAAGTGTGCTCTGTAGGGTAGTCCCTGCTGCTGGCACATAGGCATATGGGGCTATCCATCATATTCTCCTACCCCAGCAGGCAAAGTCTACATAATAAACTGCAGGTAGGCCGAGAGTACCATCTGCTTCTAAGATGTCTTTGCAGGCAGGAACATTTTACAATTTGTGTCTAAGCATCCTGTTTACTGAAATACACCCTACCTGTTGAGGATTGCTGGAGTATGCCCACATGTCAGGTTTCTGACACATGTGCTAAGTCCAGGAGCAGAGGAAACAGTTGGCATTGAAAGAGAACGAAAATGTCGGGCGGACAGTGCAGAACTGAGACAGGCATTCCTGACATAGTTTTGATAGGCTGAAGACACCAAAATGTTCAGGGGCCGTAAGACTCCTGTAAAGAGAGAAGCATACTTGTTTAATACAATACTCCAACATACGCATCCAGATATTTAAAACGAACGTGTCGAAACAAGGTGAGTATCAGGCTCCCCATGGAGCTTTTTACCAACTTTACTGAGGTATAACTTACATACCACAAAATTACCCATTTGTGTAATTCAGTGCTTTTTAATAAATTTAGAAAGTTGTGCGACCATCACCACAATCCACTCTGATGCATCCTAGCTCTGTGTTCCAACAGTAGGGACCGAAACAGTTGTTACAGTAAGTCCCATCTGCCAGATCTTACCCTCTGATGAGCCAGGGCTCCCTAGCACATAGTGCAACAGCAAGGCAGAGACGAGAAAGCTTGGCCATTCCCTGCAGAGGCAACGGAGTGGCAAGAGGAGTCATAAAGAAAACAAAAGAGGTCCTTGAGCTCTCCTCCAGAAGATGAACAGGCCACAAGAGGAGAAGGTAGAGAGTCCAGATAGGATGAACAACACCCACAAATGCAAGGGGGGCTGAAACAAATACACGCCCAGAGCGGGGACTGGACCTGCCAAAGGCTGAGCACTGCTCACCTGACAGTATGGCAATGCCTGGGTGCGGCTCAGAGGCACCTCATGGGGTGGGGGGACCTAGGTGCGTAGACCAAAGGCATCCCTCCTCACCGATTCTTCGCATTAGTGCCAAAGTAAGAGTCCAGGGCTACAAAGCAGAATCACTCACAGGGCACTGCCTCGACTCAGATTCTGAGTCTTCGGTGGGACTCAAGAATGTGCACTGAGGAAGCACCACAGGATGATGGAAATGCCCCCAAACTGGATTTACTAAAAATCATCAAACTGTACCCATAAAACAGGTAATTTTATGGTATGTAAATTATACCTCAATAGTTGCTTCAAAAAAAATTAAAAGTTCCATCACTGAGACTGCAGTACAGCCAGGGCTTAGAACTGTTGCCTTATTGTCCATTGCACTGATTTCATGTAACAAACAAGGGGCAGCGTAATGTGGGACTGGAGTGCTGGTGTTTGAGTCGGACTGTCTACTCACTAACTCTGAGACCATGGGCAAATTATTTAGCCCTTCTATGCCCCAGTTTCCCCAAATTTAAATAGGGTTAGTCATGGGGAGGTGATAAGAATTAAATGAGAGAAAACATGAAAAGCGCTAGGAAGAGCACTTGGCACAGAGAAATCATTTAATGAATGCTAATAGATAGTAAAGAGCAGAGAAATGCTTAGCAAAAATGGCATGTTAACAGATGACAGGAGAAAGCATGAATCCTTAAAACCCATATTTTGTTTTTTTAATTTTATTTATTTATTTGAGAGAGCATGAGAGAGAGCATGAGAGGGGAGAAGGTCAGAGGGAGAAGCAGACTCCCCACGGAGCAGGGAGTCTGATGTGGGACTTGATCCTGGAACTGCAGGATCATGACCTGAGCTGAAGGCAGTTGCTTAACCAAATGAGCCACCCAGGCACCCCTATATTTTGTTTTTGTTTTGTTTTGTTTTAGGAGCTGAAGCTTCAAATTCTAGCTTTCTCTCTCTCCCTCTTTTTTTTTTTTTTTTAGATTTTATTTATTTATTTGAGAGAGAGAGAGAGAGAGAGTAAAGAGTACAAGCAGGGGAAACAGTAAAGGGAGAGGGAGTAGCAGGCTCCCCACCGAGCAGGGAGTCTGATGCGGGACTCGATCCCAGAACCATGGGATCATGACCCAAGCCGAAGGCAGATGCTTAACCATCTGAGCCACCGAGGCACCCACAGCTTTTTCTTTTTTAAGATTTTATTTGAGAGAGAGAGAGAGAACAAGATGGGGGCAGGTCAGAGGGAGAAGACGACTCCCCACTGAGGAGGGACTCCACTCTGGGATCATGACCTGAGCCGAAGGCAGCTGCTCAGCTGACTGAGCCATCCAGGCATCCCACCATATTTTTTTTGTGCTCTGTCAAAGGTAACAATTTTCAAACTAGAAAGGGTAATATAAACATTAATGAGTGAGTTTAAATCCAAGATTCAGGAGACTGTTGAGAGAGCCCCTCTGGGAGCTTGGAAGTGAAATTCTCTACTACCAGTCATTCAAGTCTCCAGATATAAATAACTTGTATTTCAAAGAACTGTAAATATTTGTAGATATGAGTACAAACTAAGAGATAATCTTTGGAAGATTAAGTGAATTGAAGAGGAGGACAGTAGACAAGAAAATGTATCAGTTTCACAAGGTCCTCAGAACTTGGTCTCTTGGTTAAAACAAAACAAAACAAACCTCTCAGAAATTCTTAGAAACCTCTCCTGAAGGAAAAGAGCAGATAAGAGTCTAGAACATATAAATGGGTAAATTACAGGCTCATTTATAGGAAGAAAAAAAAAGAGAGAATGGATAAACAGGAAGTGCATACCAAAAAAAAAAAAAAAAAAAAACTATATTGTCACCTGGGAGTGATTGTTCCTTAAAAAGAACTTCATTCTGGGGCGCCTGGGTGGCTCAGTGGGTTAAAGCCTCTGCCTTCAGCTCAGGTCATGATCCCAGGGTCCTGGAATTGAGCCCCGCATGGGAGTCACTGCTTGGCAGGGAGCCTACTTCCTCCTCTCTCTCTGCCTGCCTCTCTGCCTACTTGAGATCTCTGTCTGTCAAATAAATAAATAAAATCTTTAAAAAAAAAAAAAAAAGAACTTCATTCCATTTTTTGATGTAGTCACTAGCCTGGGAAATCATGGGAATGTCTAGACACAGTGTATCCTGATTTTAGGAAGGCATGTGAAAAGGTTTCTTTATATTCTAAAGAAATAAATGTGGGCAGGATAATAGTATAGTTAGGTAAATTCCAAGCTGACTAGAAACTAGCCCCAAGTTAGATGATTGCTGTTCTGATCAAAGTCTCTTCCTGGCTCCCTAACTGATTATATTTTCCTTAATTTTTATGAAGGTCCTGAAGCTGCATACAGCATATTTGTCAAATCTGTATAAAAGCAAAATCCAAAGACTATAGACTCAGAGTGATCTTGGTAAAACGGATCAAAATTAATAAGACAAAGTCCAGGATAAATACACTGAGGTTAGAAAAAAATGAAGGAAAGATGAATCTTGCTTGATAGCAGTTTCTGGGAAAATAACTTGAGGGCCTTATCCACCATACCCTCAGGTGGACCAGCCCTATGTTTTAGCTTGTAAAAGCTGAACACAGCCTAACTCAAAATGTATTGACAAAAGGGTAGCACACAAATCAAGGGCAGTAATGAACTGTTCCTTCAGTTTTCTGCTCTGTTCGGTCATTTTAATACACACTGGCTTTCTCTGAACACATTCTTATATGGAGAACACAGGTATTGTAACAAAGAGAGTGACAGCAAAACCAGAGTTTTGAAGGAATAAGAGGAGGAAGAGGGAACAAGGAGTGTACTAGTGAAGAGTCAAAAAATGGGAAAGTATGTTTGGGGAATTACAAACAGCTCTGTGTGGCAGGAATCAAAACAATGGGGATCGGGGAAGGAAGTGAGTATGACTGTCGAAAGTAGTGGTCTTCAAGTTTTGATCCCTTACCCTCTAAAAGCATTCTGAAAAATTATAGGGCTCAATACCACAACCCTAAGATCATGACTTGAGCTAATCAAGAATCAGATGCTTAACTGACTGAGCCACCCAGGCACCCCTATCTTTTTTTTAAACATTTATTTATCTTAGAGAGGGAAAGGGAGAAAATCTCAAGCAGACTCCCCACTGAGTGTGGAGCCCCACTCGGGGCTCAATCCCATGACCCTGAGATCATGTCCTAGGCTGAAATCAAGTCTGATGTTTGACTGACTGAGCCACCCAGGTGCCACTGAGGTGACTTTAAAGAAGCACATCACTTTCACAGTATCAGGCAATGCTGAATATATATACATATTCTAATTCAGCAATTCCACAGCCAGTTTTATAAGTATACACACTAGCACACTGTAGAGAAACTCTTGCACTCGTGCCAGGACACAAGGAATATCAGCTTTGGACCTAACTGCCCCAAAGTGAAAACACTCAAATGCCCAGCAATCCCCAAACGGAGAATTGTGGGGTGATCGAATAAGAGACTATTATATAGAACAAGAAAGCACTACAGCTACACCCAAAATGAACTAATTTCACAAAGTAAAAGGCACAAGAGTACATACTGTGTGATTCCATTCATGTAAAGTACAAAAACAGGCAAAACTAAACAACATATTACTTAGAGATGCCTATATAGATGTTAAAACTATTACAGAAAAAAAGACAAGTTAACAATGAAATGAGGCTGCTGTTTATATTTAGCAGAAAGAGGGATTTTTTAAAAAGACTTTTATTGTATTTATTTGTCAGAAAGAGAGAGTGAGAGCACAGGCAGGGGGAGTAGCAGGCAGAGGGAGAAGAAGGCTTGAAAGGAGCCCGAGATTGGACTTGATTCCAGAACGCTGGGATCATGACCTGAGCCAAAGGGAGCCGCTTAACCAACTGAGCCACCCAGGCGTCCCAGAAAGAGAGAATTTGGATTAGGAGAAGCGGTTCCCGGTAGTGTTCTCTGTCCTGCCTTCGGTGTTACACAGGTGTTTTCTTTAGAGTTAAACCATTCATGTATGTTACATACATTTTTCTTTGTATGTTATTTTCACAATTAAAAAATACCCCCATAAACATGTTTCCTCCGTAACAGTTGGAAATTTTATATTGTAGCTTTTTTCTTTATTTCTATTCTTACACAGAATTTTATCCTAATTTATTTTGTGTATATGTAATTTACCGATAATCTTATCATATTTAAATAATATTTTTGCAGAAGTCCTTAGAGCGAAATCAACAATTTAATTGCCTTCACTCCTGTCATCTCTCTCGGTAGAGAAATCCTTGACTGCCTCTGTGCGGGGGACTGAGTGAGCAAAAAACCCGCCACATTTCCTGCACATTGTGTGAACCTCCTACATACAAGCTTGCTGTGTGCCAGACACTATGCAGGGCACTTTACATGCATGAGCTCATTTAGTCCTCAGGTAGACAGTGTCATCCTCATTTTAGAGCTGTAGAATCTGAGATTCAGAGAAATTACTTTTTCAAGGCCAAGTGTCATGAGTGGCGAGTTCTAGCCTCTAAATGAGGTTACCAGGAACTTTTCTGTCTCCTTCCGCACACCTCCTCTGCCCCAGTCCTTTTAGTCTGTTTTCTAGGTAAGGCGGAACGGCCAGGAGCCGGTAAGGAAGCGGAAACCCGAGGACACCCAGGTCCGCCAGGGCCCAAGAGTGTCCGGAACCTCCGATGCAACCGGCCGAACACAGGCAGTCCCAGATAAAATTCGGAACAATCCTCTGGCCTTTTTTTTTTTTTTTTTTCCTGTTAAAGTCTACGCTTAAACGCCTATTCCACCCTGCACCAGTCCCGCCTCCTGTGAGGAGATAAATCGAACACCGCGTTTTCCACTAACCTGACGCCGCCCTCACAGCACGAGCAAAACCGGGGACCGCCATCTTGTAGCCCCGCCCTACGGCAGCCGGATTGGTTCTAAAAGTTCCAGGGCAAAGGGGAATTAAGAAAAAGAAATTTGGGTGGAGTCGAAGAAGGAGGAAAAAAAAAAAAAAAAGAATAAAGGAACGGTCAAGGCAACCTTTATTGAATGTCTTCTCCATACCAGGCTATTCTCCACCGCTCCAAAACAAGTGCCTATGAAGAGTGTCTGGCATATAGTAGGCTCTTGAATTTTTAACGAGCATTTGATTGACAGATCTATTTAAAGTACACAATTTGAAACACAATTTCTTTTCGCTCATTTTATTAAATTTGAGAAAACAACTTATTTTCCTTCCAAAGCTGGTAGGGGATAGGCTGAGTGGGACATAGCAATGTTATTAAAATTTTTTTATAAATTGAATGACAACTATAATTAAATGATGTAAATATCCTAAGGCTATCACAAACATTTTTTCTAGTCACTAACACTGATCGTCATTTGGTAGAATAGCATCTCAATCCTTCCTAAATAATTCTATGTTCCTTATTTTGTTCTTGATAATTAGTGATTATACACTTTTTCTAATGTTCAAACAGAAAACAAATCTCTCACTCATCCTTGTTGGCTAAGCTATTCCATGCATATATAATAAATGACACCATATACTAATTGAAATGGCTAAGGATTAAGACTGGTCTCTGGGAGTTCACATTTAAAAAGGAAACAAGCATAGAACATAAATACAAGGCAGATAAACACTCCACAGGAGTAGTTCAAAGTTAAGGAGAAAAGGCTTTCTGACTGAGATGATCAGGTAGGAGGTGGTAGAATATAATATGAATCTTAAAGAACGGGGAGGATTTTAACAAGGGCAAGGTCATTCTTGGCAGTAAGAACATGAAGAGCTAAGATGAAAAGAGAGGGAGCCAGGTCAGAAAGATACAGGATTTATTTATGGGAATGCTTCTCAAACTTTTTTTTGGTCTTAGAACCAGTTTAGGTACTTAAAAACTGAGGACTCCAAAGTGTTTTTAATTATATTTCCAACTGCTACTGTAATAAATTGTCCCATAGTGGCTTAACACATCACAAATTACCTTACAGTTCTGTAGGTCTTAAGTCTAAAATGGGTTTCACAAGACTAAAATCAAAATATCCAGGGTTGGGGCGCCTGGGTGGCTCAAGTGGGTTAAAGCCTCTGCCTTCAGCTCAGGTCATGATCCTGGGGTCCTGGGATATCGGGCTCTCTGCTCAGCAGGGAGCCTGCTTCCCTCTCTCTGCCGGCCTCTCTGCCTACTTGTGATCTCTGTCAAATAAATAAATAAAATCTTCAAAATATCCAGGGTACCTTCTGGAGGCTCTAGGGGAGAATCTGTTTCCTTGCCCTTTCTAACTTCTAGAGGCTGCAGACATTCCTTGGCTTGTGGCTCCACCCATCTTAAAAGCCAGTAGTCACATCCCTCTTACTTCTGCTTCCATTGTCACATATCCTTTTCTGACTGAGACCCTCCTGTCCTCACCTTTTACTCATAAGGACGCTTGTCATGACATTGAGCCTATGCAGATAATCCAGGATCATCTCCCCATCTCAAGAGTCTTAATTTAATCACATCTGTGACCTTCCTTTGTCATGTAAAGTAATATTCACAGGTTCCAGGGATTAGGAATATGTGTATATGTTTGGGAATAATTATTCTGCCTATCATACTAATTGATTTTAAAACAATTATTTTTATAATAAAAATATGCTCATAAAAATAACTATTCCAAGATTAAAAAAATTAGTGAGAAGAGTTATTCTATTAACCTTTTTTTTTTTTTTTTGCAAATCTCTTTAAGGTCTGGTTTAATAGAAAGTTGGATTGAATTTGTTCATGCATTCAATGTTGTGACATCACTTGTCACCTAGCTTCTGGAAAAACTCTACTGTAAAATTATGAGATAATGAGTGAAAACAGCAAATAGTATCTTAGTATTATGAAGGTAGTTTTGATTTTTATGGATTTTCCAAAAAAGTCTCAGACTTCCTAGTAATCCCAGTTCACACCTGAGAACCAACTGAGAATGTTTTATCCTTTAGGTCTTCTGGGTTTTAGGGTATGGAAGTGGGTATAAGCTCTCTAAGTATATAAGCTCTGACCACCACGATCAATCATTGCTTTTTTTTTTTTTTTTTTTTAGAGATCACAAGTAGGCAGAGAAGCAGTCAGAGAGAAAGGAGGAAGCAGTCTCCCCACTATGCAGAGAGCCCGATGCGGGGCTCGATCCCAGGACCCCGAGATCACTACCCGAGCTGAAGGCAGAGGCTTAACCCACTGAGCCACCCAGGCGCCCCAAATCATTGCTTTTTTAATCTCTGACGTAAGGTAGCCAAGTTGAGCCTTAAAAACATTCCCATGTGCTGGAAAAGTACTGAGACATTTCATAAAAATTCTTTGAATTGGCAGTGGGAGTTATTGCACATTTTTAAACAGAGGAGTGATTTAAAGTTGTGTTACTTTAGAGGATTCCATTTTAAAGCAAAAAAAAATTCATAAATTGCATGTGGAGGTTGAAGATTAAGGATTTGGTCAAATGGGACATTAGGAAGCAAGAGAAATTAATTTTGGAGTTTGAGATCTGGAAGCTGCAGAAGTTGGTAACGATGTTCAGTCCCAAAATGTGGCTGGGCCACACGTGGTTAGAGCAGATTGAAACTGTGGTATTGGTATTGAGAGGTTTATGGCCAAGATGTTAGAAAAGTCATTACACTGGCAACACCCAGCATAACAGCAGTGGTCAGGAGTGGGGTGGGGAGACTGTAATTTAATTGCTAAAATTACTTTTAAAAAATGGGAGACTGCTCTGGAGGCTGTTGGGTGATGGTGATATGAAATAGAGAGTGTAATGTAATTTTTAAAGTACACTGAAAAGCAGTGAACATATACAAACATAAGTATTCGATTTCAGTCAATTTTCAAATCCATTTCTGCATTTTACAAGTGGGATTAGTATCATACTGTAATACCACCATACTGTAAAAATGTATAACTCTAGGAACACCATACTCTAATAAATTACCTAGTTAAGACCTGAAAAAACTTTGCAAACACAATAAATATACACGTTATTTAGTTTCTTTGGTGTGATGGTGATAAGATCATTATTAGTACTCATAATATTGAATACTGTTTTCGACATATAACATACTAAACCTTGGTTACAGACTCAGTGGAATACTTTGAGCAGTTCTGCACTGACTGCCCTAACTTCCAACCCATCCCACAGACTGCAGCCAAAATTATCTTTGTAAAATGAAAACGTGGTGGGAAAATCAGTGTGGTTTAATCTAGAAGGAGTAGAAGCGATGGAACCCGAAGAATCTAGATTTCTAGCTCTGCTCTACCATTTATTAGATACGTGAACAACACACTCCGAACAAAGGTCTCTCCAGTGTTCATTCACCCAGCCTTCCGTAATCGGGACGACTCCCTTAAGAAAGGCTGTCAAATGAAACAAACAAGCAAACCAAAACAACACCATTGTTTACGTAACTTTCGCCAAACTGCTTTCTACGAAATATCCAGCTGACAGAGGCTGAACTTCTCCCTTGTTTGAACTCCTCGAAGAATAACATCCGCTTTCGCACTGATCAAAGGCCGAGTTACACACTCCTAGCCGCCTCCCAATTCACCTACTAACCCCTTCTTGGGGCTACACACCGGAACTCCGAGAGCGACCCGGAAGGAGAAATCGCCTTTTCCGCCAACGGAGGGCCCACCCTCTCCGAGCGGCATGGGCGGGGTCGAGAAAGGGGGCTGCGCGTGCGCAGCGGCGTTGGCTGCCCTTCCGGTACGACCGGCGCGGGGAGACTGCACGGACGCAGGCACGCACTCACGCACACTCGCTCCTACTAGCTCTGCCGCGGAAGCTCCCGCCTATACCAGCGGTGCCGTCCCCCCGGCCGAAATGCTGCGGGCTTGTCAGTTATCGGGTGTGACCGCTGCCGCCCAGGTGAGCGCGGGGGCGCGGGGAGAGAGCGCGTGGTGAGGCTGACTCCGGGCAGCCAGCGGAAGATGGGAGAGGCTTTCGCTCTGGCTAGGCCCCGGGAGAGAGGGCGTGTTTCAGGGCCTTCTTCATCGCGAGAGTCCTGGGCCGACCCGTGAAGCAGTTAACTGGGGAGTTTGCCCAAGAGGGATGACTTGAGGGTTATTGCAGAAGCGGGATGGGTGTGGAAAGAAGGTGGCGGGGAGGCGGGCACAGGACGGTCGGCAGGGCTTCGGGGACCGGTCATCCAATCAGCCCGGCGCTGCCCCAGTCAGGGACCAATGGTGGCCGCTGCCGCTCGGGTTGCCGGTTGGGCTCGTGATAGGTTTCGCGCAGCCAGTGGTTGAAGGTCGAGGGGAGAACTACAGTTCCCAGGAGGAAAAGGCTAGCTTTGGCTTGTTGCATCTTTAATAAGGAGGTGTTTGAACTGTTAAGAGTCCGCATTTTAGGGGTCAAGGCTATAATTATTCCGGAGGGACCTTTTTTTGTAGCTGAGAGCGCCTCTGAGCTATTCTTACTCTAAACAGAAACGGGAGATTGTAGTTTATGGAGTAAAGACTCTCTGAGGAAGGACAGGAGTCATGACCTTGTGCTCATTTCTGAGATTAGCTTGGGGATCTATCGCTCCGGGTGCTGGGACAACTGTGGCATAACATCCAAGAAGCCTAAACACCCAGTGATTTTTTACTGCTGCACGATTATCAAAGTAATTTTCTTTTTTTTTTAAAGTAATTTTCTACAATTGGAAATGCAAAAATAAACCTGTTTCGTTGCTCATAATTTTCAGAATATTGGTATGTTGGAAAAATGTATTGCAAAACAGGTACTGTGACTCAAGTAGTAATTGAACAAAATCCCTAGTCATAGTGAGTGAGAAATCATAACTGTCAAAAAAAATTTTTTTTCCTTCCAAGTTTGCTTGTCTCCCCACTTGTTGCCAGCATAGAAGCAGCCTCTTCTATAGGCAAGTAGGGTCTGTATTAGTTATTGATGCATAACAAATGTCACAAATTTCGCAGCTTAAAATAACACCCATATATTATATTTTCTGGTTATGAATGGTCTGGATTCTTTGCTCAGTGCCACACAAGGTTGC